AGCCTCCTGAGCCAGAGTGCGAGTTGGATGTTAACAGAGCCAAACGTTTGGGCCATAACGCCGTAAGCCGCGAATGCCGCTGCTGTCCCCGTGCTGAGTGGGTGGATCTGTGGACAGCATGGAGGGCTGTCTGCCGTGCCTGGGTGCTGCTGTGATTAACAATCTAATTATGACATTCTGCAAATGCCAGCGGCTTATGGGCACACGTTATTAAAATGCCTGGGCTGGCGCTATTTACTGCCAGGAATTGGCAAGCTGGACTGACTCGGATGCAAAAACCCAGCAGGCCACAGGCAGCAGGCTGTTGAAGGAGGCGTCCGGGTGTGTTGGAACATGCCAAGACACAGGAGACGCTGACAGTGGCTGGGACGACCCATGGCCACTGAGTCCCCCGAAACAGCAGCACTTGGCGATCTTTGCAGCCGCCCGGGCCTCGTGTATGTTTTCAGGTCTAATGAGATCTGGGAGTGCTGGGGCGGGTGTGGCTTCCAGAGCCCCCCATGCACACAGTGGGGGACGTGTCTCGTGGCACTGATTGGAACTGAGCCTGGGCTGGCCTGGGTTCCCTCGGCTGCTCCTGCTGAGCAGGTCTGCTGCTGCCCTCATGCAGACGCTGGTCCCTCCTCAGTGCCACCTCTGCCCCATGTAAAGACAGGACTTTGCCAGTACTGCCAGCCTGGGACCCCAGGAGCACCCTGTGGCTGCACAGGCTTCATTATTACTGGGTGTGCCCTGGGAACCTGGGGCATCTCAGGTCGAGGGTTTTAGGAAGAAAGGCCTGACTGTTGGGTTTGGGCTGCAGGGGGATGTTGGTGGGTTCAAGGAAGCCTGGCTTGGCTCTGGCTGGGTGCTGTCGGGACACGAGTCATGCCATGAATGGGCGTCTCCATCAACCTCATCTGGAAGGAGGGCTGACCCCAGCAAGCCTGACATTGGGGCTGGTGCAGCAGCAGCCCCCGCCCACCACAGCCAGGACCAGGGTGGGGTCATTCGGGGTTTGGATGCTGTTCACATCTGGCTTGTGCTCAGACGTGACAGCAGGTGGTTTCATTTTTGTTTTGACCCATGTTGATCACAGTGGCCTTGTCTGACACTGGTGTGTTATGACTTTGTTTACCTTTGACAGGGGAAGGCCTGGGCTCCACTGGGAGCGGCCGGCGACTCAGATGCCAGGGGCCACTTTCCTTCCTCAGTGTCACAGAAGGGCCATCGACCCCGACTTTACATGCACCCCCATGGAAATGGGTGCCGGTCTCCACACCATCCGGGGAAGCAGCGTCCAGCCAGTGCCTCCGGGGCTGCGTCCCTTGTGGGCTGGTGCTGGGACTGCTGGGGTGTCTCCTGAAGGGGTCTTGGGAGGCACCATAGGAATGAGGGTTCTGGGGACACATAGCTGAGAAACAGGATGACCTCCCTTCCAGTGTGCTGAGCACACAGAATACTCCACCCTTGCTCCAGAGTCACCAGCCCTTGGGGTCACCTATGTTTATCGACAACAGAAAACTGGCCCGGTTTTCTTCAGTAGTCGCGGTCTCTGTTCTAACAGTAGAACCAAAGGCACAATGACGGCAGGTCTTCAAGGTAAGTGTTTCTGTCCCTTAATGCCATCTGTCTATGATGCTGCTGTTTCTCTCTGTTTGTCTGAGATTTATTGTTACCTGAATGACTGTGGACATCAAATTCAAGGCTACCTGAGAGTTGGGGTTCAGCTGGAGCTTTTAGGCAATGCCTCACATTTTGGCTAGAAACGATGGCCTGCTTTTTAACCACCTGGTGACACTGCAGTCTCCTTATCCATAAACTGGGGGTTCTCGTCCCTGCCGTGTTCATGTGAGGCCTGGGTATGATAACAGGCCAGACAGCACTGGGTGGCAGGTTTAAGTATGCAGAGCCATGGGGCACGTGCTTTACGGTTGTCATCCTGACACCCAGAGCCTTCCCGGCTCTGACCTGGGCCCATCGTCTCCATGGAGCTTCCTGCCGTCAGTCACTAGTCGTTACAGCAAAAGGTTCCAGATGAATCTACACAGGAGCTGCGAGGTGCCTCATCACACCCGCTAGCTTTTCCCGGGGAAAAGACGTTCCACGGAGCCCGGCACGTGGCGTGGGGAGTAAAATGGTCAGAGTTGTCCAGAAGTTCCTGCTTTCTCCTTGAGTCCCGGCAGCGAGAACGCGGGAGACAAAACACCAGGTGCTAAGTGCACTGCAAAGTGCACTGTGCGCTCGCTGCACTCTGCACCCTCCGGCCCAAGCATGTCCACTCTCCTCCCTGCATGTCCCCACCCCACCCTGCTGCCCACCCACGCCTGCCCCGCTCCTGCCTGCAAACAGAGCGTTCCAGAGCCTGTCCCCAGGCTGGGTTGGGGCCCCTGCGCTCCCCGGCACAAGTTCAAGGGGACATGAGACCTGGCAGGAAGTTTTGCGGACACACTGATATTGAAAACCACAGTTTTTACTGCACCACCAGAACGTATCACAGCACAGAGAAGAGGGTGCGTGTGTGCACATGTGTGCATGCATGTACATGCAGGATGTTGCCTCCATCCTCCTCCCCAGGTCTGTTTATTCCCATGAGAGCCATCGATCACCTGGAGGTGTTTCCCTGAGCCCCGCCTGCACTGGCCCAGGCAGCACTTCTCAGACAGGAAGCTTGAGGTCAGAAACAGAATTGCTGTCACTCCATGCTGTGCTCCTTGTTTTATCAGACCCTTGAATACTGCCATGTGCAAGTTCACTACATGTGAGGGCAACCATTGCAGGGAAAAGGCTTCCTAGGACAGAAGCGCGTGTGGACGCCAGGGCTTTGTGACATTGGCTTCTGTCCTGTTCTGTTCCCCGAAGGAGCCCACTAAGCAATGTCAACCTCATTTCCCTCCAGAATGGGCTGGGAACCGCTCACCAAATGTATACGCATCTGTAAAGGATGTTCCTGCATCTCTCTGACTACATCCGTGTAGGATGACAGTGGGAAGAAAATAAGTGTTTTTATCTTCACAAGATGTTGCAGGTGCGATTTCAGAAAAGCTGCAGACACTCAGCCGCCGTGGAAATAAGCGCACAGCTTTTGAGGCCAGGGCATCGACCGGGATAACTGAGTCCAGGCCTCCTTCAGAGACTAAGAGCCAGTGGCATTTCAGAAATAAAGACATTCCGGTAAACACGGGGCTGCCTGTGCCACTTCTGGGCTTCTCACCTGGCAAATTGGCAGATGTGTCTGGTACCCCTTTTGCTGGCCTCATGGGGAGAAAGTGAGCCCACATGTATGGGACGTGTCAGCACTCTGGGAGCTGACGGGTGACACTTGTGCCTGGAAGGTTCACGTCATTTACACCCTCCCGCCAAAGCGCTAGGGACTGCTCCTGGTTCCCACCCAGGTCCTCAGCCATGTTGCCTCTGGGACCACAACTCTGGGTAGTGTGTGTGTATATGTGTGTGCATTTAGGAAAACTCTGAAAAATATCTTCATAATAAGGCAAACACTGATCATATTCATTTAATCTTTGTTAAAAGCATCACAAATGATTTATTGATTTTTAAAAAGGAAAAATAAGAAAGAATGCACTGCCTCTTTGTTATGTGCAGGTACCACGTATGTGCACGACGTGGTCGAAGGACGTGTTAGGTGCCAATAGCCGACCACCTCTTATTCCCGGTGCCTGTACATACACCTGCACATCAAACATATAGAACCTCAAATTTATAACCAGGTAAATCCATAGGCCTGGGCACTGCTCTACACGGCTATGGAGATGGGAATGTATAAGATCACATCAGAGGCCACCTTATTCCCGGGTTCTTGGGTTCGCACACCCAAAATGTTCTTAATAGAGATAATAACATAAAATACAAGAAAATCACAAATAACTAAAGGAAAAAACCCTACCTGAACAGCTGAGAGAAGTAAATTGAGGGGTCAGGAAGGTCGAAGACCCACAGTTGGTTACCCACAGGCACTGGTGAGCTGAGGAGGGGGCTGCTGCCGGGGCTTGCACGCTGACCTCGGGCCTTGGCCCTGGACCGTGCCAGTGTATGTCCCTGTGTGTCTGATGCTTGCAGCAGCCAGGGGCACAGGCACCGGGTGGGGGCCAGAAGGGCACAGTCTTGGCAAAGATGTCTTTGGAGGCTGCAGGCAGGTGGGAGGGGCCTGGCCCAGGCCCTGAATGAGCCACAGCCTCTTACTGACACTGGCCTTGCCAGCCCCGTGTCCCTGGACCCCAGAGGGCCTTGAGGACAATGTGCAGGGCCACCTCTGGAGAGGCTGGTCCAGGAGCTCCTGTCAGTGGCAGGCAGGGTGGGGAGAAAGATTTGGGTCCAGCTGGCCCACCTCCACTGCCTGGTTGTGTGACCCGGAGTGAGTCCTTTCGTCCCTGCAAGCTTTGAGTCCCTGCCTATGACACGAGAGCCTGGCCTCCACGGGCCATTCACTCAACAAAGATTGAGAGCCTCCTACGTGCTGGGAACTGTTCTGGGGATGAGGACTCCTCCCTGGGCCTCCCTCTAACAGACCACATTTCTTTTCTAGGGAAAACGGTTTAGTGCCCCCTAAGTTCCAGCATGGGGCACAGGAGGACACGGGTGCCTTCATGTGGACCTGTCTCCTGGCCAGTGAGTCTGGGCACTGACGTTCATTCCCCACTTCCAAGAGAAAAGCCACGGCCAACCAAGAGTCTGGCCTGGGGAGAGGAGCAAAAGGGAGCGGGAGGAGGGTACTGATGTCCCGTTTCAAGGCAACAGGTGAGAGTCCCCCCGAATGTTCACTGTGCAGACTTAGGCTGGCATCCCTGATTCTAGGCAACGGTGAGTGAGTGGAAACCGCACTGCACTGAAGAGCAGAGGGCTGGTTCTGGGGCCACCTCTGCTACCGTCTTGCTGTGACCTTGGGAACGTCACCCCCCCCCCGTCTCAGTTTCCCCATCTTCAAAATGGGGGGCCTGCTCCTTGATGTCACTCCCAGCTCTGCCATCCTAAACCTCTCATGGTTTGGTTTCTACGTGGGTCCCTCAAGCTATAAGGAAGCGCAGAAAACCTGGTGCGTCCAGAGGCTGTCCCCAGCCGCCGGCCCTGCCAGGGCCCCTTGCAGAGCCCACACCTGGCTGGGGAGCAGACATGGGCACGGAAAGCCTGCGGGGGGGGGGGCGCCGCCTGCTGGCGGGAGCGAGAAACTGCAGGCCCGTGTCCCTCTGGACACGCCCCCGCCCCGCCCCCTGGGGAAACCAGGGAGAGCTTTTGCCCCTCGGGGCCCCAGAGGGGGAGCCCCGGGCATTTTGGAAAAGGGCTTCCCGAGAATGGGGGTCCGACAAAGCAACCCACATGGCTACCGCCTGGCCACAAAAATAGAACATTAAACACCCCCCCACCCCCCAACGCAAACAGCTGCCTAGAGAGGCATTTACACGACCTGCAGTTTACAGAGAGGAGGGACAGCGAGGTGGCCTGGAGGGTGGCGGCGGGAGGCCGTGCAGGAGGGGGCGGAGAAAGCCACGTCGGGAAGGACGTGCCCTCCATGGGACAGGTGCAGTGTCTGAGCCGGGGCAGCAGGACAGACGCCTGCCCAGGGCCGGGGTGGGTGGGGGCTGCACGGAGGGCGGGGCAGCCGAGGGTGGCTTTCCGCAGGTCTCGGGGGGAGGTCGTTGCAGCCGCCGGCGTCGCTGTGGTCTGTGCCCTCCACGGGGAGGACGGAAGGAGCGTGCCCCGGGGCGGGCGCGCGGCCTCAGCTCACCAGGTAGCTGTGCATCTCCCGGGCGTTGATGCTCAGGACCACGCCCGAGTGGTTGCCTAGGAGACAGGAGACGCCGCCCGTGAGCGCGCGCCCGCGCAGGGACAGAGGCGCAGAGGCGGGGCCGTGCGGGTGCGGTGCGGGGATGGGGGTCTCGCGCCTCCTGGGGGTGTGCCTGAGGAGGGGGCTGTCCCGGTGCCGTCACAAGCAGAGGACCCGGCGGGCCTGGGGGGCGAGGCCCGGGCGCCCCGGCGCTGCGGGGCGGGAGAGAGGGGCGGCGACGTCAGAGACTAGGAGACCTGGACACGGAGAGGCCCAGAAGGGACCCAGAGGGGCTCTGCCTCACGTGCACGGGCCAGAGCTGGTCAGGACCAGGGTTGTGTCGACCCTTTGCCAGGGGGGGCCTCACAGGGCTTCCCCCTTGGGGGGCCTTGTCCTGGTCACTTGCGACTTCAGGAAAGCAATGCCCCCCCCCCCCCCCCCCCCCCCCCCACAGGGCTGCCGCGGATTACAGGAGAAAATGCACCTGAAGCCTTTGGGCAGGGCCTGGCGCACACTAGGCATTGATTAAAACCATCTATTATTATTAATCTGTCATTATTCTTTACGGGTTTACAAGCCAAGAGCTCAGAGGCGGGGCGGGCTCTGTCTCACTGAGACACCACAGCCTCCGGCCTCGGCCCTCCTTTCAGGGCCTTCCACCCCAGCCGCCTCTGTCACATGGGGGTGGGGGATGCTGTCTGTGTGAAGATGGGGGCCACTATGTGGGAGGCAGTGTAGAGCCCCAATACCACCTTCCACCTTGAGGTGGGGGAGACCCTGGTGGAGGGGTCTTTGGGGCACACAGGCCGACCCCCAAGCCTGGTGGTCTGCTGGGGTGGGGGGCTCAGGCTGTGTGGCACGGAGCTGGGCTCCATTCTGGCTCCTCCTCCGGTCAGCTACGTGACCTGCGGAGGTCAGGCAATGGCTCTGAACCTCAGCTTTCTCATCTGTGAAGTGGACACAGGCCCGTCTGCCTCACAGGGAGTCAGGTGGTCTGTAAACACTGAGCCCAGGGCATGGCACAGTTATTATTTTGCTCCCGGAGGCTGCAGACACATCTGGCTGCAAGGACACATCTGGGTGGAGCCCCCCCTGGGTGGGCAGCTGGCCCGGAGGAGCTGCAGCGGGGGGGCTGCGCGCACAGGCCGGCTCCGTCGGCTGCCCCCCCACCCCCAGGCTTTGTGTCAGGCCAACCTGGGTCTGGACTCGGGCGGCACTGGCTGGCTGTGTGGCCCTGGGTGAGCGACTTCACTTTTCTGAGCCTGCTCTCCATAATTTAAAAAGTGAGGACAACTTCTACCTCTCCTAGTTCTGAGGACATGATAGACACAGGACTTTTAAAGTTGATGTTTAAAGTTGAATAATGACAACAGTGGGTCAGGCCGAGACTCTGGGGCTTGCTGTGCACCCTGCTATGCTCTGGACTCCAGTGGAACCTCATGGTGACTGCGGCAGGTGGGCGCCGGTGCTGTTGTCACACGAGGCTGGGACAGGCACTGCTACAGGACAGCAGGGATGGCGAGGGAAAGCTGGGCTCGGGGGTCTGCCTGGATGTGAATTCCAGCTCCACCCCCACTAGCCGTGCCCTTGGGCGGGGACGTGCCCGTCCAGAGGGCTGCTGAAGTGAGACGGTGAAGCGGCTCCTGGCCACACCCCCCAAATGAGCTGGTGCCGTGGCTGTCAGCACGGGCTCCCAACTTTGGCAAGTCTCAGAACCTTCTGGAACCTCTGTTTTGCCACTTGTTGAGAAGAAGTGCTGTTGTACCTGCCTGTGCTAGATTGTATCATGGTCCTCGTTCAATGTGGCCTGGACCCTCCCTTGCTGAGGGGTGAGTCTGTGCCCCCTCCTCAGGATGCAGGGACAGAACATGGCTCTGAGGCTTCTGCCTGCTGCCTCCGTCTCCACTTGCTTTGGGGACACAGCTGCCATGCTGTGAGGAAGCCCAAGCTGCACAGAGCGGCTGTGCAGGTGTCCCGGTCATGGCCCACGGCCCCAGCCAAGCGCTAGGAAGCCTTTGAGACAACTGCAGGCCCAGCCATCGATGGCACCTCACGAGACACCCTGGGGGAGAACTGCCTGGCAGAGCCCAGTCCACCCCCAGAAACCAGGGAAGGAAACAGCCATCAATTGTGTGGGTGGTTTGTGCAGCCATGGATGACTCCCGGTGCTCTCCCCACTGGGCGTGGCCAGGAGTGAACGACGTGGCGTCAGCGAACATGCTTTGTAAACTGTAAAGCGTTGTGCACAGGTGGCTATGTGCGTGTGTGCAGTGCTCACTAAATCGTCATTTCCAGTGAAAAGGAGGGTGCGAGCATTGCCAGAGTGACTGGGGGGAAAGGCCCCCAACATCCTGAGGCCAGAGTCAGGCTTCCCTGCCTCTGTGGCTCCCACATGGCCTCTGAGGTAACCCTGTGGGCAGCGCTGACAGCTCCTGCCATCACCTCATCCCACGGAGGGAACACAACAGGCCCAGGTGACCCCCGGCAAGTCCGCCTGGCCCCGAGGGCTGCGCGGTGCTGGGCAGAGGCGGTCGGGCCGGGGGACCCATGGGAGGGTGGGGGTGGGTTTCCGGGGCAGGCGTTACCCAGAGTCTGGGAGTCCAGGTCATTATCTATAAACTCCTCACCTTGGATGACACTCTGGACGTCGTCGCTGTGGCTCACAGGGCTCGTCATCTCCTGCTCCTTCTCGTTGTGCATCTGGGCGTACACAGTCCTGCCGGGGCGTTTCCTGCTGGGCAGAGGTGGGCTGCTCGGCTCAGGGCGGCTTCCTAGACCGCCTGTCCCCGAGCCCCAGCTGGGCTCCAGCCACCCCAGTATGGTGCACGGTGCAGCCGACACTCCAGAGACACCTGCCCCAAACCCAGAGTCCCGTCTCCTGCCCCATCTCTGTGCAAAGCCTCCTCCTCCAGGAAGCCCTCTTCCTGTGCGCTCCCTCAGCCCTGGCACAGTGGGCGCTGCTCACTGTCTGTCCATCTGCCCTTCGACCTGGACCATGGGAGTGCTGCAGGGAGCGGCGTTCCATTCCCTTCCATCTCCCATCGCCTGGTGGCTTTGGGGGTCTGGGAGGTGCATGGATCACAGTGCATGATGTTGGCCCCATGCTGAGAGGCGCTTGCCGAGCCAGGCTGTGCTGTCCTCGATTTCCCTTCCCCTCCAGGCCCAGAGGAAGGGGACAGGGCAGCACGGCACCCGTGCCTCCACTGGGACCCGCCCCAGGCCAGGCTCCTTCATGTGCGACACCCCAGTTAGTCCAATCAAAGCCCTGAAAGGGGTCATGGTCCCCCGTCACAGATGAGGGGACTGAGGCTGGGGGGCAGGGGGACTGTCTTGGATGAGGTGACACGCATGCCAGCTTGATGGCAGGAAGCACAGTCGGGCCCCATCAGCAGGGCAGCCATGGGCCTCGCTGTGCCACCAGGGCTGGCTGGAGGCAGCTGGTGTCCCCTCCAGGGTGGATTTGAATGTTCAAGTGGCCCTGCTCTGTCAGTCCAGCCTCCTGAGTGCCAGCCAGCCACCAAGCTGGCTCCCTCAGGCACCACGGGCCTCACCGGAGCTTAAAGGCCGGCGGGGCTAAGGGGGCGTTTCTCTCTGCTCTCCTTCCGGTGGCCCAGGAGCAGTGTTCCCTCGGTTTCCACGGCAACGCCTCCTCCCTCAGGGGCACGAGTGGGTTCAAGGGAAGCCCCGCAGTGCCTGGCACTGGGCCGGCCACTTCCACTCTCCAAGGTCCCCTCCTCCCCCTCTGCCCCCTGACCCCTGGGTGAGGTGGGGCAGGTTCCTTTCTAACTCTGTACGCCACGTGCAAGAAACCCGGGGCAGGTTGTGGACACCATGATCTGGCCCTCGGTGGTCTGAGGATGCGGCAGAAGTGAAGACCACAGAGGCCAGTGTTCAGCCCCTACCACGGCCGCCCCGTTCACGACCTTCTCCACCAGGACGGCCCGCCGCCTCTCTCTGCCCGGCCCTGCACTCGGCTGTGCCTGGACCCAGCCCAGATCTGTGCCCAGAGATGCTCAAGCACAGCCCCGGCCCGGAGCAGGGCCTCGGCCTCCCTCGTCAGCCCAGCCGCGCAGGACACTCGGAGCCCACAGTTTGTGAGAGCCTACCCCCTGCCACCGTGCCGGGCTGCCCCGCAGTTTGCATGGGGTCCTTGCACTCCAGTGAAAGGGTGCTCGAGGGGCAGAGACCCAGGAGCGGCAGAGGTGGCTGGGGTCTTGCTGAGTTGGCCTGTTGGAAAGTGCCCCAGAAGTGTCTCGCTGTTCCCAGAGCAGTGGGGAGGGTCACAAGGCACCAGGCACCCCGGCGTCCAGGCCTACACGGCCTGCCAGCGCGTGAGCGACTGCCAGACACCCCGACGGCCCCCCGAGCCTTCTTTACGATGTGCTGGTGCAGCAGGTTGTGTGCCTTTTATGCCATCCTCGTTGGAGGTCATCTGCAGAGCAAGCAGGCGGCTGCCTCTCCTTGCAGACGACTTTTTTAACCTCTGCAGATACTCGTGACCTCGGGCTCCCGTGCACACTGACGTGGCAGAGGCAGGGACAAGGCCATATGTTCCATCCCGAGGACAGTCTCATGCCCGTTTTACAGGTAAGGAGGCTGAGGCTCTGGCAGGCAGCTCTGTGGCTCTTCTTTGAGGGAATTTGAATACTGTGGCACCCTGAACAGAGCAAAGGCAGGGCAGGCCATGTGGGATAGGGGAGGACAAGGGACTGGGTGGGGAGCCGTGAAGGCCCTTCCCTGGGAGGTGGGCTTGTGTGTGCCGGGCACATGTCACACCTCGGCTGGCCACGCCGTGTGGACAGGTGACAGGTGGGGCCTGGGGACTGGCACCCTTGCGTGTCAGGGCACAGGGAGGTCAGCAGGGCCTTGAAGCGAGAACAGAGTCTCCAAATGGAAATCACGGGGGCCCTTGCCCTGAATCAGAAATAAAAATTTCAACAGCTCCTCAGCAGACAATAAGAAACACAGCCTGGCCCATCAAAAGGCAACCCAGAGACGCCTGTGGAGAGGGGACTGTAAACCTGTCTCTGGAAAGAATCCCGGGCAGCCATCATCAGTCTGAAGACACCGCTGCGCAGGGGGCCTCGGCCCGCGAGGGGGACATCTGCCCTAGCCAGTGCTCTGACGATGGCCCTTGGGGTTTGTCCACTCCGACTTTACACTGCTGCTGTTTTCAGGGGAGTGAGGGGCCTGGATGTAGTACCAGAAAGCTGGGCCCAAATGCCACCCTGCCATCTCCTAGCTGTGACGAACCCCACTGCCAGCTGGCCATGGGAGTCACGTGATGGCCATCCGGGCTGAGGGGAGGGAGCAGATGGGAGGAGGTGGCACTTCTGGCCTGGGGGCTGGTGGAGAACCGTGTCCTGTGCTCAAGAGGGGCTTTTGGGAGGGGGGTGCTGAGTTTGATTTGAATGTGAGGTGCCAGGTGGACCTGTCCAGGTGGGCCAGTGCCTCCACGAGTTTGGAAATTAGGAAAGGCCACAGCCTGGACCCTGCTCTGCCTCTTTGCCCAGCAAACTCCCACTCATCCTTCAGGATCCCCACTAGCAATTGCCTCTCCAGGGAGGCCTCCTGGATCCTCCAGACCAGCTCTAGTCCGTGCGGCGTCTCTCGGAGCACCTCAGGCCGCCCCTTCCGTTGGAACTGAGTAAGGAGGCAGATGGTGACTTGCTCCCAGCCAGAACAGAGTCAGCGCTGTGTCCTCGGCACCAGCGTCCGGCACGGAGGGAGGGCACCCCCCACAGGTGCATCAAAAACCGCAGGAGAGGGTCCCAGAGGAGGGGTGGGGGGCCCAGGGCCCAGGGGAAGGCCGGGGCTCAGGGAGGTGGGCCCTTGGCTCCAACCCAGCACATGGGGAAGGGCGAGCTGTGTCCTTCGACAGTCCTCAAGGGGGACCCCGACTGGGGAGACCGAGGCCCGGGAGCTGAGCCAGCAAGAAAGGGAGAAACAAGAGCGTCAGGACAGGAGAAGGTCTGGTGACACTTCTTGGTCACGTTGCACATTCCCGGGTCCAGAATCAGCCCTCTGGGGTGGCCGCCATGGATCCCAGCACAGGGGGGTTATTAAGCCCGTTTTACAGATGAGGACCAGGCTCAGAGGGAAGAGAGGCCCCAAAGCCCCTCGCGACAGATGTGCAGGTTGCTTGCACCTGTGCCAGGCTCAGCTCAGTCCCTGCCCACCCAGGTGCTCCTGTGCAGCTCCCGTGCGGCCCTGACGCCCTCTCCCTGTGGATCGCCCAGTACGCGACAGCAGTGCTCGAGCTGGTGGCAAGGGAGCACGGGACGGCGGTGGCCTGGGCCACATCCCAGCTCCACTGCTCACCCGCTGTGTGACCTTGGGCATGTTTCTTAACCTCTCTGAGCCCGAGTTTCCTCACCCATGCAGTGGACAATCTACTCCCTCTGAAGGTGGGTGGAGCTCAGTGAGATGGTGGCTGGGATGGCCCAGGACCCTCAGGTGATGCAGAACCTGGGGTTTGGGGACAGGCAAGCTCTTCCCTCCACCCACCCCGCAGTCCGTCACAGGCGCAGACTCACACCACCTCTTTCCACGGCCCTGCTGGGAAGCCACTGCCTCCAGGAGGCCTTTCTACATCTGCCTGCAGCCCGATGTCAGAGCCCTGATGGCCGAGGGAAGCGAGGGTGGCCTTGCCTTTTGAACTTGTAGAGGATGAACACTCCCACCGCAAAGAGGCCAATGACAAAGAGGACCGCCACCGCCCAGTAGCCGCCTGCTGCTCCCAGCCTCTGAGAACCTGCAAGCAGATCAGCCGTCAGTGGGTGGCTGGGGACCACCAGCCTTGTCCCCAACCCCAGCCTCTTTGGATGGGAGCGCGCTTCACATTGTGTGGCCGTGTTCTCCTGGTGCGGCTGAGGGGACAGTGGGTCATAAAGGACCGAGGACTGCAGGCTCCACAGTCTCGGAGGAACTCTGCCTGCACCCCACCCCCGGGGCCGGAGTCCTGCTGTGTAATTCGGGCTGTGTGCCGGGTCCCTCCTTCTGGACAGTGGACAGAGCTACCTACCGACTTCTATGCTGGCGTGGGATGACCCTGTCAGATTTCCTAATGGGCACGGTGTCATCCCAAGGAAGAAAAAAGCTCTTCAGCTTCTGCAAAGATTCCTGCCCCCAAAAGAAAAGGACACACAAGTGTCCCATGGTGGGGGCAGGGGAAAGAGATCCTCGGAGACCCTAAGTGGCAATGTAAATTAACAGCTGCATGTACCATCCATGGAGAGGTGCACCAGGCCCTTGGGTTCGACCTGGTTGGGGACAGACTGGTTTTAATGCAGGCAAATGCCCAGCCAGGAGGGGCGTGTGGGTGGCCGAGGAAGGGCCACCTACCCAAAGGTCCTGCAGTGGCACATGTCATCTGAGGGGTCTGGGTGCACGCCCATCCCATCCCGCGGGGACCCAGACCAGGCCATGAGGAGCTCCTGGCCTCTCACCTGCATCTGCGTCCCTCAGGGCCACCAGGACCCGGACCCCGCCTCGCAAGAGGAAGCTGATCTTCTGTGAATTCAGCACCTGCTGGATGGCCGTGAGTCTCTGCAAGCACAGGGGAAGGGTGAGGAGGGGTCCTCTGGGACCTACCAGACGGGATCTGACCCTCTGCAGCTGTGGTGCTCAGTGTCCTTATATGTAAAATGGAAATAATGACCCCAGCCAGCTTTCACCAGGAACCACTGATGGGACACAAGATGACCCAGACGTGGCCCTGCCCTAGAAGAGCTCTTGCTTCAGTCAGGAGCAGATGTAAAAGAGACACAGGCCACGGTGTGTGTAAAGTTGGGGACACTCGGGATGATGCAGGAGGCCCCAACCCTGGTGGTGGTCAGGGAAGGCTTCCTGGAGGTGGAAGACCAAGAAGAGGACAAGGTAGGGTAGGACAGGTGACTCAGAGGCAGGGGAGTGACCCCACTTGGGGGAGGTATAGCCCAGGAGATGCCGCTGGATTGCAGGGTGCAGGATGGGGCTGCAGTGGCCAGATTGAGGCCAGCCTTGGGGACCATGCGCACCCTCCCCCAGGGGCCATGTGACATGACAAACATGAGGCACCGGCACACAGCAGGGCTCCCTCTCGGCTCCCCTTGTCCCTTCCCCTGGCTCAGACCATCTGTCACTGTGCAGGGGCGGCCTGGCTCAGGACTGGCTGCCATCCTGACGGATGTGAGGGGACATCTCACTGTTTTTTTTGTCTTTTTTCATGTCCAGCAACGGATCGCAACCCTCAGTGTCGCGCCCGTACGGGACCGGGACCGGCAACGGGATCGCAAACCTCGGCGCCGCGCCCGCACCTCGCTCAGCCAGTGAGCGGGAACCGGTCTGTATGTGGGATCCGAACCCTCGGCGGGAGTGCCGCCGCGCTTCCAAGCGGCGCACTGTAGCAGTGCGCCACCGGGCCGGCTCCTCACTGTGTTTTTAATTTGCATGTCCCTGACGATTAGTGGTGTGGAGCATTCTTCAGACACCTGTTGGCTATTTGTGGTCTTCTTTTGAGAAATGTCTGCTAAACTCATTTGCCTATTTTTAAATCAGATTGTTTTGTTTTACTATTGAGTAGTTCCGTTTATACTTTGGATATTAACCCCCTATCAAATGCATGGTTTGCAAGTATTTCTCCCATTCCATAGGCTGTCTCTTCACTCTGTTGATTGTTTCCTTTGCTGCGCAGAAGCTTTTTAGTTTGATCTAATCCCATTTGTCTATTTTTGCTTTAGTTGCCTGTGCTTTTGGGGTCACATCCAAAACATCATTGCCCAAACCAATGTTGTGCAGGGTTTTTAAAATGTTTTCCTCTAGTAGTTTTACAGTTTCAGGTCTTACATTTAAGTCTTTAATCCAGTGTGAGATGATTTTTGTGTTTGGTGTGAGATAAGAGTCCAGTTTCGCTCTCCTGCATGTGAATCTCCAGTTTTCCCAGCACCATTCATTGGAGAGACTGTCCTTACCCCGGTGTGTGCCCTTGGCAGCTTTGCTGGAAACCAATTAACTATAAATGCATGGATTTATTTCCGGACTCTCTATTCTGTTCCATTGGTCTACTTGCTGTTTTTGTGCCAGTACCATGCTGTTTTAGTCACTATAGCTTTGTAGCATATTTTGAATCAGAAAGTGGGATACCTCCAGCTTTGTTCTTTCTGCTCAGAGTTGCTTTGGTGACTCCAGGTCTTCTGTGGTTCAAATTTTAGGATTTGTTTGTTTGTTTCTGTAAGAAATGTCAATGGATTTCTTCTAACAGGAATTGCATTGAATCTGTAGATCACTTTAGGTAGTTTAAACGTTTAACAATATTAATTCTTCTAATCCATGAATGCAGGATATCTCTCTATTTATTTGTGTCTTCAAATTCTTTCATCAGTGTTTTATAGTTTTCAGTGTAGAGATCTTTCACCTCCTTGGTTAAATTTATTCCTAAGTATTTTATTTTATTTTTTGATACTATTGTAAATGGGATTGTTTGGTTGATTTCTTTTGCAGATAGTTCACTGTTAGTGTGTAGGAATGCTGCTGATTTTTGTATGTCTCTGGTCCTTCATGGTGGCCCTCATGGAGCCCCTGGTTCGTTTTTTAAAAATTGATAAAACATGTACTCTTTCAAAGTGCACAATTCAGTAGTTTTTAGTATATTCCCAGCATTGTACAACTGTCACCACTGTCTGATTCCTGAGAATTTCCATCGCCTCCAAAAGAAATCCCCTGCCCTTTAGCAGGTGCCCACATCCTTCCTCCCCCAGCCCCTGGCAACCGCGAATCTGCGCCTGTCTGTGGACTTGCCTGTTCTGGACGTTTCATATGGATGGAGTCACACATTCTGTGGCCGTTTGTGATGGCTGCTTTCACTTGGCACCACGGTTTCAGGGTCTGTTGTGCGGCAGCTTGTATCAGAGCTTTGCTCCTTTTACTGGCTGAATAATATCCCAGTGTAAGGATAGGTGCTGTTTCCTTTATCCGTTCATCAGCTGACGGACACTTTTGGGCTGTTGTGAATAGTGCTGCATGAGCATTCGTGTATGACTCTTTGGATGCACATTTTCATCTCTCATGAGGAGATGCCCAGGAGTGGGGTTGCTGGGTCATGTGGTCCCTCCATGTACTGCCTGGGGAGCTGCCAGACTTCTCTGCACAGCTGCACCCTGTCCCCAGCAGTGTGAGGTTCTGATTTTCCCAGTTCCACACCAGCACTTGGTGTCTGCAGCCACCCTAGTGGGTGTGAAGGGATGCCAGGTCACCTTTGTGTCCCCTTCCCACATGTGGCAGGTCTTCTGTCCCCTCCGTGAGGGCCGTTATTTGCAATAAAGGCGTTTGCTCATTGCATGGGGGCTGAGTCCCACTCCGTCCTGAAACCCGTGCTCCCGTGTCCTCCTAGACAGTGCTCACCCGCCTTTCTGAGCAGCCCTTGCAGTCAGGTTGGGGCAACGTGACCAGCTCCAGCCATTGACACGAGAGGACATAAGCATGTCCGCCTGGTGAGGGGGTGCAGCCCCGTGCCCTCCGCCCCCCACAACCCCTGCTGCAGTGACCTTGGAGGCTGCGTGACTTCCAGAAGGCACAGCCACAAAGAAGAAGAGGGCCAGCTGCCCTGAGTCTGACCGCGATGTGGGGAGAAATAAGCCTTTACATGACGAGCCCCTGAGACTCCACTGCTTATGTGAATGACCCCAAGCCCTCGGCCGTGTGGGGCACCTGGGGATCCAGTGGCCGCAGGACATACCTTGTCACTTGTGAGGCTCCTCTTCCTCGTGGGCCTGGAAGGGGGCAGGAGCACATACAGGTCAGCCAGGGTGGGCAGCCCCGGCTTCACCACAGTCACCAGCAGCTCCTCAGGGACGCTGGTCTCCTGCAGGGACAGACAAGCCACTTTGATTCGCTGTCCTCCTTGTCTCCTGCCAGGACACCAAGAACACCCTCTCTCCCCTCTTGGCCTGTCAGAATCCTGGCCTTCTGTAGACCTTTCCAGAGCCCTGCATGCCATGGGGATGGCTCAAGTCCCAGGGCCACCTCCTGCACCCTCCTCTCCTGGCCCCTCAGCCGCTGCCTGGGTTGAGGCCTCCCCCACACCCCTACCAGCCTTGCCCTGTCCCCTCCAGTCCACACTTCACACCGTGGCAAGAGTGAGCAGGTGCCTCTCTGGGGGCGACTGTCCTCCCTGATGCTGGGGTAGGACAAAGCTCCCTCCCACGGCATTCCAGGCCTGCTGCTGGCCCTGCTGCCTCCCCGTTCCCGCTCCCCAACATCCCAGGCCCAGCCATGGCCACATGCCCACCTACGACCCCCTCAACCCACAGGCTCTGCTCATGTGGCTCCCTCTGCCTCCTGAAGCCACGCTCCATGTACCTCCATCTGGCAAATGCCTATTCATCCTTCAGCACCCAGGACAATTTTACCAGCATTATTCACAGGATGAGGAAAAGCCTGTTCAGAGTGAACCTCGGCCTGCGACAGCCTCGGATGGTGCTAGGGGGCTGGTCTTTCTCTCACTGGGGGGCCAAGGGCCTTGGGTGTCCTAATGCCCACCTCGATGCCCTGTCTGCTTTCTGTGAGCTTCCCGAGGGTAGCGATCACATGGGATTCTTCTGTCTCCAGTGTCCAGCCCAGAAGACAAATTCAGTGAATTAATGAAAATTGCTTTAAAGAGACTCTGGACCATTGGAGGGCAGCACCTGAGTCCTATGCAAACAGCTGGTGCTCACTAGATGTGCACAGGGAATGCAGTCCTGTCCCTCCGAGCAGTGGCCCGAAGGCCAGAGCATCGTGACTGCAGGGGCAGCACCACCTGCCCCATCCTGTCCAGGTGGCCCCGGGGCCCTTGCGTTTCTCTGGAAACCAGAGGCCCCGTGTAGCTGGGGAGGCATTAGGCACTGAGCGGCACGGGGCGGGCGGAGGCACCTTGGAGAGGAGCCGGGTGACCACCAGGCCGACGTCCTCCCTCCACTCGGGGGTGTTGGGGTTGTAAGCATCCAGGTCTTTGGAAAACTGCAGAGGCACGAGCTGGAACTGGTCTGGAGAGAGGCAGAGATGGGAGAGCTGATCAGTCCTGGACAGTCCTGGGTCCCTCTGGAAGGGCGGCCACACACCCTGGGTGGTCCAGGATGCTTCTGGGTCAGGTCCCCCCAAACACTCTCCCTATACTCTTCTCAAGCAAGTCAGAGAGTGTCCCTGATTCTGTACTTGGAAACAGGATCCTCCCTGTGTGCCAGCAGCTGCAGGGCTGTCCCAGGCAGGGCCGCTTCACCGGCTGCCTTCTGATGACGACGACCATGACAAAGACCGCCATGCTGACCTGGGAGGGAGGGCCTGGCAGGTACCGAGCCTGCTCTGAGATTTCCCTCTCACCCCACGGGGTCAGCCTGTCATCCCTCAAGGACCCCTGAACTTCAGCTGGGCTGGCCCCCCACCCTATTAGGAGTCCCCGTAGAGCCGAGGCTCTGTCTCCTCCCACACGGCCCAGAGTCCATGGCTCAAAGCCCTATTCAAGTCACCAGGAGCCTCGTAGATAAACTAATCTGTTCATTTACCACTGAGCCTCAGTCTTCTCACGTATAAAGTGGGAGGAGGCTTCACGGGGCTGAGGCTCAAGCAACAAGTGCTTTGTGAACCACGCACACGCCATTGTATGGTGAGGGTGGTGGCCACCCTGTCAAGGCTCCCAGCTCAGCACTGAATGAAGGAATGGCCAAGATGGCCTCCTGCAGGCTGTGAAGGATCCGTGTGGGCCGCCCAGCCCTCTGCCCGCTGGCTCCACTAGACATTTAACTGATGGCTGCTGTCCATGGTGGAGGCTGCTCTTAAAGCAAAATGACGTTTCCGTCAGTGTGATGGTGGAGCAACAGCATGCCGGGGGTCTCCTGCGTCCTTAGGACTCGTTTCCCACTGTAAATGTCTCCCCCAAGGGGCTAAGAGCCCCAGTGAGCACAGACAAATGAGGATGCGGATTTAGACAGGAGTCCTAACAAAGTCTATGTAACGGAGTCCCCTTACTTTAAAATATAATCATGTGACAATCTTCAGCTATCTGGTGGGCGCTGAGGGGACAGGAGACTTGGAGGCAGGCACACCAGCCCTCTTGCTGCTGGGTGACTGTCAAGTCACGTAGCAACATCCCCACTTACGTGTTGTGTCCTGTGAGTGCCACGTGCCACAGGAGTTGTATTTATTTTACAGATGGGGAAACAGGCCAGAGAGGCTGGGAGACTTTGCTGAGGCCACACAGCCAGGAGCAGAGCTATGCTCACCCAGCTCCTTCCTCCCTACCCCAGGGCCACCCTGGGGTGACCAGGACATCCATGGCCTATTCACCCTGTGGCCCGACCCCCTGCACCGCAGCAGAGAGCTGCCGGGGTCACGCTGCCCAGCCCTGGGAAGGACTCACCCAGCACGCGGATGACTCTGGAGTCCTGCAGCACCGAGTTCCCGCAAGCGGCCTGCACCGTCACACGCACGTCCCCTGCATCCTCAAACTGTGTTGTCACAGAGTTATCCAGGGAGAGGTGGGGCTGCAGGGGTACAGGTGGGGGTCAGGGGTCTAGCCTGGTGGGGAGGAGGGTGACAGGGGATGCTGGCCCCGCAGTCTGCAGCCCAGGGTCACGCTGAGGTCATGTGCTGGCCCCTTACTGTTGACAGCAGATGGACCTGTCCTGGATGTACTGCACTGGCAGCACCCAGGGGAGGTGTGGGGAGGGCCTGCTAGAGGCACCCCAGTTCTAAGCCAAGTGGGAGCTTGCTCTGCCCACACCGCATGGGCAAAAAGTCCCCAGTGCCCCTTCCTTCCAGGTGGCTGCCAGGCGGGGCCTGCATGCCCCGACCCCACTTCATCTTCCCACCCACACACAGCTGCACTGCTGGGATGAGCCGTGGCACCTTCATCCTTGTGACTCAGTGCCCAGATCACGACCCCACCTGTGGGGTGGCACATACTTATAATGGGTGAACGGCAATATTACCCTGGAGACAGGAAAAGCCACCCCCACCCACAGTAGATGCAGAGATGGAGGCTCAGGGAGGTGAAGGGACCTGCACGGAGCATTTAGTGGAAGTGGTTGAGTAAGACTCAAACCCAGAGCCCATTCTCCTTCCTGGGCCCTCCCCACTCTAGGAAAATGCAACCCAAGGCCTTCACCCCTCCCTTCTCCTGGGCCTTAGTATGAGGGCACTCAGGTGCTATTTGGGGGACATTCTGCTTGGCAGTGCAGGGCTGCTGTTTGCTGAATGAGTGAAAGATGCCCCTCTAGGGACCCCGAGGGACTCCAGCCAAGGATGGACACCTCACCCTCCCACTCCTGCTGAAGAACTATCCATGGCTTCCCACTGCTTACATGGTACAACCCAGGCCTCTGTGTGAGCCTTCCAAGATCTGGTCCAGCCCCAGTGACCTCATCCTCCATGAAGCCTTCCCTGACCTGCCCCCAATTGCCCTTCCCTGGAACTCTCGCACACCTCACCTGCCCATCCTGTGACACCTGTCACACCTTCAGACTCAGGCCAACCACTTTGTTCCCATCTCTTTCCCAGAAAAAGGCAGAGTCTGATCCTATTCATCCTGTGTCCATCAAGCAGAGGTGTTGGGAGCCTGTAGCCCCACACCCCTCCTTGTGTGACCGTGCCTGCGTGACAACCTGCTTGCGCCAAGATGGCCATGCTTACGTGATAACTGCCTCGTAATCTGTTTGTGCCGGGAATTCTGTGTTCCCGGCTGTGCAAGTTTACTCAAAGGTGACCTTCATCTTCTTTCAAGTTTCTGCTTTGCTGTAAAGATTGGGGGCTGCACTGCGTCAGGAATGTCCTGTCCTTGTTTCCTCTCAAGACCTTATCACATTCCTGCATTCCTGACTTCCTACAGCATGCCTGCTTCTTTCCTATATAAGATGTAACCTTAGAGCCAATAAATGAGACTTGATCAGAATACTGTCTTGTCTCCATTTCTCGCGTCTCTTGTCTCATCCCATTCCCACTCCCCGCTCCAGGGTCTGCTTTGAATATCCTGCGGGTCAGGACATTTCTGGCGCCCAACGTGGGGCCTATGATACGGAGGATCCTGTGAGGAAGAAGGCACAATAAAGGGATGGCTGTCCAAATTAAAGGACCTTGATCTTTTGCGGGAGCCTGCTGCACTGTGATTAAGGTGAGTAAACAAGCCTGATAATGGGACAAGAATTAAGAATTAAGAATCAAGAATTAAGAATTAAGTTGTCATGACGTCTACAGAAGACAGTTACAAAAAGCTTTAAAGACGCAAGGAGTAAAGGTTAAAACAAGTGACTTATTACGGTTTTTTGATTTTATTAGAAATCTGTGCCCTTGGTTTCCTGAGGAAGGCACAATAAATTACAAAAAATGGGTGAGAGTTGGTGATGCTTTGCAGGATTATTATGAAATCTTTGGTCCGGAAAAAGTTCCAGTAACTGCCTTTTCTTACTGGAATCTCATTAGAGATATGATTCAAAATAGGGAAGGATTTCCTGAGGTGTCTGCAACAGTCGCTCCAACTGAAAAAATCTTAAAGGCTAGTTCAAAATCAGATGTATGTTCAAGCCGAAATGAGGTTGATTTGGTTTCTTTGAGGATGACTGCCCTAAAGCTAAAACAGATTCACATTCCAGTCATAACACAAAGATTGCTGGGGCTGCTTATGACTCTGATTCCTCTGAAGTAGATTGGGATGAATTAGAGGATGAGGCTGCTCATTATGAAGCCGACCACTATAAATCATCGGCGGCTGCCTTCATGGCAGAGTCTCTGCTGTCTCATCCTCCTCCTTACAATACTCCCTCTGCTCCTGTGGATTCTCCTGTTAATGAGCCCCTTAAAACTATGGAATCAAAAATCCACCAGTTAGAAAAACAAATTTTGTTAGAAAAAAAAAATTGCGGCTCCTTATTACAAAATTAAAGGAGTTGCAATCTTCTCATGATCCTGATATTGCTCATTCTCCTGGTTTTTCTGACTCCCTCTTTGCCTTCCCTGTTACTGAAGTACCTAGTGCTTCAGGAGGCCGGCCCACTCGTAAACATGAGCGGTTTGGTTTCACTTTTACGAAGGAATTAAAAGGGGCCATCGCACAATATGGCCCTACTGCTCCTTGTACTTTAACTATCTTAGAATCTATGGCTGAAACCTGGCTTACTCCTATTGATTGGAACAGTATTGTTTGAGCGATTCTTTAAGGGGGAGATTGGCTTTCAAAGAGCAATAAAACAGGCTCAAAAAGAAGGTGATTTCTCTTATTCACACTAACTGACAAGGGTATAAATCTAATACACCAAGTGTTTGGCTGAAAAACCATAAATATGTATTTGCTAAATTTAACTAAAACTCAAACTGGGCTTTGTGTAATTTGCTCTAATAAATGGATGCTTATTTACTAACCTGAAGGTATAAAAATTCTCTTATCAACAAACATTGTTGCCTGGGTTTACTAATCAGACAGGACTACATCTGTCTTTGCTAGAGGCTTTTAAATTGTTAACCCCACCAAAACCAAAAATAAAACTAAGTATATGTATATGTATATGTATATGTGTGTGTGTGTATATATATAACCCTTTATATATAATTTTTCGACAAATTAGGCCAATTAAACATCAATAAAAAAAAACAACAAGTATGTAATAAGGAGGTGATTTTAAAAAGGCCATGGATGTGGGGTATGGTTATGGTTGGAGGGGCTAAAAAAAATAAAAAATAATTAAAAAAAATAATTTTTATGTAAGAAAGCATCTGGTACAGTGTATTTTTGTCCTAGAGTAAAATGACTGGCTATTTAAAAAACAAAAAGTATAAAACAAAAGCAAAATGTCTGAGTAAGTTTTGATAATGGTTTAGATAAATAAGTTTGTTTAAAAGGTTTTACAGCAAAAAAATAAAAATAAAAAAATAAAGAGAGAGAAAGAGACACTTGAGTGCTCTTACTACAAAATCGTAAAAGGTTTTTCTTTGTCTTTTAGATAACTGGCCTAGGGATCTTATTTCATGTTTTATCGTGATAAGTTCTTGTGCTCTTTGCCCTTTAAACCCGTTGTCAGTTTGTTTTTATTTTTTGTAGTAATTTATGATTTTATTCTAAGCCTTTTGTTATTTAACACAGCTTTCCAACATTAAATTCTGACAATTTAAAATAACTTCGGGAAATTCCAAGGGCCCTGGAGTTTCTCA